AAGGATTTCGTAGACAAGTGTGCAAGATAGCTGACAAAAGAAACTGGGAAGACTGAACGATTTGTCGAATTGGTCAGGATAGGGACGTTCTTTGTGAGTCCACAAAGCACATTTCTATCCAAAGAGAGGATTTACTCAATGACATTCAAAGTAATAACACTAGAACTGCATTTTATGGATTACACTAGAGTACCTACAGGAGTTGCTGTGAAAACATCTGAAATGTCAGTTGTCAGTAAAAATCTGAACGTAAATGGATATTTTCATTTTTATCTTCTCTTTCTTGAACAATAGAGATTATTTTGCAAATTTCTTTCACAAATACATGTCTGGTAAGTAAATAAGCTTTCCCAACAACTATATGAATTTAAATTGTACACTTGTACTACTAAATTGAGTTTTTGAAACAACGAATTTATTTTATATTTTATCAGCCTATTTTAGATAGTAGGTTTTCAATAATTTATTTTTCTCATTGCTTTCTTGACTTAATTATTTTAGAAATATGAATGCGTAGCGGTTTTTGTATTGATTGCCGCATGCATTCTTATGTAAAATGTGAATACTATAACTATCAGATGGCAATTGTAAGTAGCTATGACATGGTCTAGTGTCTTGAGTAGTCATGCTCACTAAAATGTCCAGACTTGTGGCGGCGTGGTGGGCCGGGTCACTGGGCTCCCTAAAATATGGTCGAGCGCAGTGATGGCTGGCTCATCCGTTATACTTGTGAAAGGGTTCTGCTTGTAGGGACTGGTCTGCTCTAATCACTATGGCTTATTTACTAATTGTTTAACCAGTTGGTTATATATTCAATATTTTTTCTATTTGAGTATTTAATTGAATCAGTGCTAATTAGTTGTTTCTATTCACACACTTAAACTTAAAAATGTAAAGTAATAATAAAATTATTTAAAAGAGCAACATGCAAGTTTCTTGATCGTTCTTCTTGTGATGAGAAAGCATTCCGAATGAGCGGTAGATTAAAAAAAAATGTTATGACTAAAAGTGCTTCAATGTAAGTTTATTTGAATAAATGATTTTCTATTCTATTCTATTCAAACGAATAACATTGTTTAGTATGGTTTAGTGTGTTCCTACAACATAATAAAATAATAAATTTCAAACTTATTTTAACAACTCACTTTCTTATTTAAGAAGTTGATTATTAAAAATAATGTAAATTTCTATTTGTAGGCGAATATTTAAATTATATTAAATTACATATACCTATTACGTTTTTTTCAGTACCATTCTTGAAATCTTTAAGGAAAATATGTATGTCGTTATATAAAAGAACTAATATACAAAATAACTTTATATTGTTTTTAGTATAATTACACCAATAGTTTATTTGTAATACCACGATCAATATTAATTTGTTTTACGTTTTCTTCGAACTTGTAAACTTCGTCTTATTTATAGCAGCATCTTTTGAAGAAAGTTGTGATAAATCTACGTTGGATGAAACCTTTAACAATTACATAAAGCAAAAATCGAGCTTGGATTCTACAAAAAATATTACATAAAGAAGAAATTAGAACACTTGTGAAAAAAAAACACTTGTGGTTATTAAATTTATAATAATTACATTTTATAGATAATAATATTTTCGTTGAGTACCTAAAATGAAAAAGTAAAAACCTTTAATAATATTATGATGTAGTATGGCAGTACGTTGAGACGAGAATGGGTTTAATTTTTAAAATAATATCAGGATATTATATTATATATTAAAACACATCGAGGTTTCTAAAATAATATTGTTATAAAATTTGTATATAATTTATAGACTTTTTTTGTACGTAATATATAATGGTTTTGGTTTTTAACTAGTATTTATGATGATCTGTATTATAGACATAAAGTTAGGTAGGTAACGATAGTATAATATACGACAATCTACCTTCTACTACTATTTGTTTAGGTGAGTCATACAAAGCTTACTAAACGGTCATTTGACACACAGAACAATAGGTCTGTTCCTCAGTGATTTGGCATTATTGAAAATCATCACTTACCGTACAGGATGATTGACATGATTTTCAATTCAGTAACCGTTCATCAACAAAGTTAATCAGGGTTCAATATTTGAGAGTTGCTTATATGGTTACATATCATAATGTTGGATTACGAATCCTTATAAAGTAATATATAAAATAGAGAGTGGACAGTATTTATTGAAAACAAAATTATTAATGAATAGGGCAGAAGAAATACGATTTCACCCGGGAAGAACTTCTTCCACACTCCGAACACCCCGAAGTAAGCAATGTAACTACCTTTGCTCAGGAACGTTCCGATGTGTAGTACTGTGGGTGGCCACGCACTCTAGAGTAGTACTCAATATTTTTCTTGTTTTATATAGTTAAAAATACGTCCGTCCTTTTTATTCCAGTTTTAATTTTCATTTTTTTAATTCGAAATACGAAATTTAAGGAGCCACACGTTTTTATTTGTGGCCAGTATTACCAAGCGCCCTTTGCTCCAGTAAGCGAGTCGGTGATACAACCTGCTTAGACTAAGGATGTTAGGAATACGAACGACATAACATGTCATATGTATTCAAGAGTATAATTACAGGATGATTTTTGTATAACTTTTTAAGGTTTAGGATAAATTATTTCAAATACGTATTGTTAAAGTCGAAAATAATTAAACTGGGAGTTACATCAAAAATGCTGCCTAATCTATTTGAGATTATAACAATAAAATGACGTTGGTAATGTTGTACTTTTATAGATGGTCACTTTTAAAAATGGTCTCATAATTTAATTTTATCACAAGATATTTAAACGGTTCAATCTTAAATTAAACAAGTCAGTATTTTAAGCAATTTATTCACATTATAATAATTGTTAAGATGTTAATTTTAATTGTAGTGTATTGTATACATCATACAATTAAAATAAAATCTTTGTAGGTATCGTAAATTAAAAATGCATCTCTGAATCATAGTAAGTGGAACACTGATATCATCTATCGCATATTAGTAACTGGACAAAACCGGGGTCATTCCTAGTTGGGTATAAATAAGGTTTAAAATAAAAGACATACTGTAACAAATCGTTTTTTATATATCAACAAAATTATGCCAGTAAATGCTAATTACATTACACATTAACAACGAAAGCGAATGTGTTTCTAATTAAGTTATTTTACATTGGAAACTGTGATATGGCAAATTAATATATCAATAGAAATTAAAATATTTATATATATAATTAGTTCAGACAAATTTTATAATTATATTCATGAGTACCTGATTATTTTGTACGAGCATTTGTTACCGTTGTTACTGGCAGAAGATAAGTACAATTAACGCAGTATGCACATTGGTTCGTAGTTTGTTGCAACAAAGCCTACGACGCATTGCGAATGCTAAGTTAGTGCAAATTACTATATAAAATACTTTATGTAGTTTGTCGGGTCTTAACGCGGATAATTTACCTCATTTGATGTTTCGGCTAATACAATTTTATAAGAATTATACAGACATAATAAATTAAAATTCACTACAATTGGAATGATGTTCCCTGAGGCAGGTTAGATTTATACAGAGCTATAAATAAAACAAATAAAGCACAAGTAAATCCATTTCAGTACCTAATGTTTGTAACACAATATGTAGCTAAAATCCGTTGGCGATATGAATAAAAAAGTGAAACGTTATTAGTCAAATTTTTATTGTTTGTAATTAATTTCAGAAGTAGCCATGCCAGATTTTATACTCTATTTTTGTGTCATCATAATACATAGCTATTATCATGTTGCAGTCAGTAGTTATATATCTTTTTCATAGCTTGTAGAAGTGGACCAATATTAGAATATAATATGCTCTCCAAAAGATAGTAATGTTGGACAATAAACTATAATTATTGTTTATTTCTTTGGCTGTAGTGATAAATTAATTGCTACTAGCTTAAAGCAGTCTTGTGTGAAAAAATGATGAAATCAGAGCGTCTTCAATAAAATTTTGTATTTAGCCTTATAGTTAGATGTAATTACCACCGTACATATTTCATTACTCTGTAATCTTAATTAATTTAATACATGATTTTCTGCAAAAATATGTTCATTAAAATATTTACTTAAATTATAACCTACTCGACGTGACAGAGTCAATAAAATTATTCTATAGTATTTGTATTAATTTTCAGAAGAAATAATATTTTCTTTGCTTTGTTATTTTTACAAATAAATTTACCATCTTTAATTACAATTACATTATTTATTTACATTACGTCAATGTATCATCTAAGAAGGCGTTTCTAAATGTTATTTACATTATCAAAAGTGGATTTATTTGAAAATTATAAAATAAAATTTGTATTATTAGATTTGTTTGCCAAAATATTTTATAAAATACTATACATTTAATTTAGTAAAAATAATAATAAAATTGAACTTAGGTACTTACACGAATACTAGCATTTACCTATTCAGTTACAGATATGTATCGAAGACTTATTATTTTTATTATTAAAACAACATACGTTTTTTTCCTTAAGCTATATTTTATTTCTAATAAATAAAATTATCAATTAAATTGAAATTGCTGGGAGAAAAATATATTAGTAAGTAGCACATTATCGAAATTATTAATGTTAATATTACAAATGCTATAAAAAAAGATTTAAAATAAAATTAAAGTTACGTCAAGTAACATAGAATCGATAAGAATATGTTTTGATAGTTTTCTTAAAAACTTGTAAAATGGAGACTTTAAAATAATTAATATATTCAATTAATATAATAAAAAAATGAAAATAAAAATATATAGTAAGTAATGTTATACAAGTATTATATATATCATTGTAAACTAATACATAACTTTTATTCTCAATCTGCCACACAGTTAAGTCCTATTAATAGGAGAACGGCTATAATATTATGAAGTTAGTAAAAAATAAATTTTATAATAATTATTTACACTATTAATATTTCAATATGTAATTAAAAATAATTAGTGAAAAAAATACAACAATGTATTAGTTAGGTATAGATTATCTGTAAAAGAAACATGATAAGTCAAATTTTTAACAGGTCGATAGATCTAATTAAACTAAGTTGTAAAAAACCTGATTAGTCACCAGTCTATAAAATAAATTGAGAGCCATGCTCACCTAATCACATTCCGTTAACAAAATCAAAGATAATTTATCACGTTTCCGATTGTGTTAGCAAACTAAAAGATACAAGTAGGCAAAGTGCTAACAGCATTACGCTTAACGCGGGCGCTTCGCTTGAACTCCTCACTGAAACAAACAAGCTTTGTTAGTCATTCAACGATAACATTTCTAAAAATAATCTTATCGCGGTAGACTTTGTACAAAGTCATCATCTCTATGGTTTGCTTATATTTATCAATCTATTCGCTGCTCAATGGCTTGGTTTCGGAGCCTCAGAGGTTGATATTTTTATGACAGCATTAATAAGTTTATTGAGTGTTGTTTATTGTTTTTTATATAGTTGTATTGTTTGTTGTATTGTTATTACAGATTGGCTTACTACACTCTTTGGATTAACTGTATTTTTTTAAAAAAATAGGGGAAAAACTTGCTTGCGGCTCACCTGATGGTAAGTGATTACCGTCACCCATGAACACCTGCAACACCAGGTTAGTTGTAAGTGTTTGCAAGAGTTTCCGTCAATTTAAAAAGGAATATGTCTTGAAGGTATCGATATTGTACAGTTTCGGAAATACCATTGCATCGTAAATAGATAATACTCCCTATAATAATAAAATAAATACATAGGTGACGGTTACCACTTAATATCAGCTAGGGCGACAGGTTGCGATTCCCGTTTCAAAATAAAAACGAATTAAATACTAATAAAGTAATTTACAATTTTAATCACGATTTATTATTTCTGTGGTCGATTATACACATTACGAGCACTGATTAACCCCTTTATACATAAAAAATTCAATAGCCGAATAAACCTACCTTCGTACATGTTAACTATTTCTTACATTTCTTTTTTGTATTTATTAATTTGAAGTAAAATAACTAGTATCAGTTTTTTGTATAGTAAAGACATTTGTAGATTATTTTTATAACCTTTATTTATGTCTGTTGAAATTACTTTTATAAAAACTTTGTTGGCGTTTGTGACTCAGTGAATGAGTTTATTTATACTTTCAATGCAAATTAACTTAATAATAGCTCAATTATTATTTTACTAAAAATAATGTAGCTTAAACTGAATATAGTTATCATTTATCTAATACAAGAGCTACGTAGAAGGTATTAAGGGTTTTTCTTAATATGTAATTATGACAGATAAAGTTTACGAAAATATTAACTTATAACTAAATACCTATTATGGTATTCGTTTTACTAAATTGATAAGGTAACATGTGGGCAAGTTAAACTATAGATACCAAATAATAGTCCTATTAAATTTGCTTTCAATAGTTATGAACTATATTAAAGTTATGCTGTGTTCTGTTTGCAGGTGAAACTGTATGCAAGTACATAACTTGAACATAACTAACCGGTGGATTAGTCCCAGGGTAATGTTCTGGGAAACTATTGACATCCGTTTATAACATTATTACTAAACCGAGTTCCAGATCGTTACTGCTTAATAATTCAGTGGGGGCGTTATGCCCTTTAAGAGGTGGTGTTCATCGAAGTTCACTTAATGTTATCTATTCGTAAATATAGTACATTTAAAAATATACATGTAAGTTATAACTTTTTAGGATTCCAATGCATATCAATAAGAATGTAGATGTTCATTATTAAATCGAAATAGATTTTAATGAAGTCGAACACATTATTAATTAATATTTCAATAATATAACTAATTGCATTATGCAACTACAATAACATTTCACTGCCTTATGATGTAGTGTGCAATCCTTCTAATTCTAATTCTCAAAAATTCCTGGAATCTATATTTATATATTTCTTCGGATATTTAGTTTATTATAAACGTTTAGGCCTGGCCTTTTCACGGTAACTTACGCAATGATCTTTACCCTACGTAAGGTTACGTCGGGTGCTCCAAATATTATCCTTTTTAGGTATATATCTACTCTACTCTGTATTGTTTAATAATATAATAATATACATTTACAACTGTGGGAATCAGAGACATTGTTTATTGATGACATTCTGGTGAATTTATAACTTTCTTACGTCTTAATTTTGCTGAATACATTTCTACGTAACAAAACGATTAATTAAATTTATTATCGAAATTCTCATTACCAGTGGGTCAGTCAAAAATATAAATATAAATAAATAAACCTGTATAATTAACATATCGCCATCTAGAGCTTGTGTTATGGGTACCAGATAACTGACTGAAGCGGTGTGCTAAACATTTAGACTACCGAGACTGTCGATTAAATATAAATTAATACAAAATATTTTAGTGGTCAGCTAGTTTCGAAGTCACTACATTTCGGTCAGGGTATACCAATAGACATCGATGGCCTCGTCTAAAACTACTATAACATAAAAATATATCAATTACCCAGTAGCATAGCCTCTTTACTCTCAGCAAGTTGGCTATTCCCCACCACGGCTTCACTGCCTTCGCGCCACGCGGGCGCTACTCGTGCTGTACACCGGACTTCCATAGACCGGCCGATTGGGACACGTAGTCCCAAAGCTGTGGATACCAGGCCATGTGAGTGGTGCATCGGTGGAAACTCCACTAGCATATCTGGATCTGTCACCTGTGAAAAGTGGGTACAATTCAATATTTTACCTTACCTTGAGGGTGAAGCAAAAAAGCAAGAAATATTGTTAATTTTTGAATATTGAACCGTATAATTTCAAATACAAAATATAATTAATAAAAAATATTGGTAAATATAAATTATGCTGCCAGTACGTCGACAACATCAGACTCATTGTCCAAATGTCATTTGTCAAATTATTTATTGATACTATTAAATCTAGAATATATAAACTATGAAATTATGCTGTCAATACTTCAGCAACAAGAGAGTTTATCATTTTGTCTAATATGTATTCGTCTGTTCCATTATAAGTTTGTATATATCCATTTTAGTTTCATAATAATTTCAGATGAAAATATTTGCTTAATAGTTTTAGGATGTGATTCAATACAACATGACAACAACAACACAACAATTCTATTATGAGATAGATTCGCTTTCGAGCTCTTCCATGTTTTGACAAAGTAATACTACGTTGTTATTTCTTTTCATTCAAAGACAGTCATAAAAGACGACTATAGGTACAAAGTAAGATATATCAATATACTAGAGAAGGAAAACTTGAAATTAATTCTTATATCTAAGGATCTGGCAAGCGGGGTAATATTGTCTCCAATACATATTATACGGAAAGAGATACCTGCAGTAAGCTTAATTAGTTTTAATGAAAAGTTACATGCAATAATGATGTAAATATTTTAGTACCTTGTTAATTGTAACAAGGTACTAAAATATTTACATTCGAAAAAAAATACGATTTCTATTGAGAAATTGTATTTTTTTCAAATGGTCGTTTATTTTTTAATAAATAATATCGTAGTTATATACAAAAATTATTTGTTATAGTTACTTAAATAATAATTCAATTTGATTATAGTACATATATAACGTAATTTAATATTTACATATATTTATAGATATTAATAAGCGTAATTAAATTAAGTTTAACATAAACAACAAGATTTATACTATTCAGTTGATTTTCATTATCAAAATATATGATTAAAATACGGGTATAACTTCTATACTACTATATATACTATATATATCTATATAAATACTTGGAAGCCCATTGTTTTCCTAAGAGCTGAATATGTCGATATTGTTGAGATAACCTCGTTATACCTATCATTAATTTTAGGGAACACTGAAAGTTTCAAATAGTCTACTATTTTGAAACTTCCTGGAAACCATGTTGTCTTAGGTTCACGCAAAATTAACTTCCTGGAATTTTTAATGGAATTGTTTTTTTAAATTTAGATTAAAAAAAAAATCTAAATTAATGAAATATAATTCTTTTGAAACATGGAATAAACGTGAAAACTATTTAGAAAACGAGAATACAAAATTTCTCATTATGAACATAATTTTGAATAATATTCTATCAACCTTAGTGTTTATAGTTTTAAATATTTTTATGTTGTATTTCAGATTATTTATTTCTAAGCAAATTATGCATTATTTTACCAATACTCTCTTTATTATCTCACTATCTACATATTTTTTATATATAACGTGTTCTATACTACTATTTTATATAATCCTCCTTCATAATAATACCAACTTACCTTTTCGCCATCTATATCCCAACTAAGGACAGCAGCTGGATATGATCGACCCGATGTACAATTCAAAAACATTGTGTCCCCTCTTCGATTTTCTTGTTCGTTGCCAGTTATTCTAGGTCCTTCTCTAGGTAGATCTGTGTAATAAGGTCATAATTTATTATTATTATACATATAGCTGTTCTACAAATATGCTACTTAATTATATATGTATTTATTACTAAAGAATTACCAGAACTCATTGAAGTTATCTAAATTCAAACTCATTTATAAAATATGCAAAATTACTGCAAATATATATATTGAATTTGGGCGGAAGATTTTTTTATTAATAATATATGGCATATATTCAGTAAAGAATAAATATTTTCTTCATAGGTAATTTCATTAAAATCTGTTTATATGAGATAGAGTAAAAAAATCTAAACATCTTCACAAACTATCACATTTAGAATATTAGTAGGATTTCTTTACATGCCATTGGGATTCAACGAGGAATAAAGATTTGGAGGCCCTGATAGCTTTACCTTGATAAGATCTTAAGGTATATTGTAAGTGGGAAGTCCCAACCACCCTCTATCCGTGAGAAATTGGATTCTGTTTCAGCGGTATTCAACTATTTATGAATTTCAGGTTTATTTATTCATTTTTGTTTTATGTTCAAAGTTCCTATATGATATTTAAATATTCAATATTTTTTTACTATTCCAGATATTTAATGTTGACTCTTCATATTTAGTTGAAATAAACAAATATTACTATATAAAATCAAACATTTGGTATTTATTTTTTTATTGCAAACATGTTGAGACTGTAAAGGAAGTGTGATATTTTTTAAAACGAGTATTTTCTTTATAATATTCAATTTATTCTTGTAATATTCAAATTACAATAATAAATCAATTTAAAAAAATAAAAATGCCTTTTATTTCCTAAAATGACAAGAATATTACATGCACTCACTAATTATTTATATACATATCATATTATTGATGTTTAACATATTATATTTGTTATTTAATTATATTATATTATTATTTTTATTATATTATTTTATCTATATTCATTATTATTAGCATGCAATAACAATAAACATTTAATTTCTTTTTCAAATTACAATAGTGATACAAATTTTTAAAATAATAATATGTTTTGTTATTACTAAATACATGAAGTAAAAATATTATCATTAATTTTAGCCGAGATTTAGGCATTTTCTGTTGATAAGGTCATTGTAAACTATTGAGTAAACATACTTTGACATAACATACTCAGTTTCCCCAATTAGAAACTAACTATTCGACCTTTTCGAATCCAATATAGCAAGGAATGAGCTTGTTTTCATCTTTTGAAATAATGTTTCATTTATTATATTATTGTTCGTTTATTACAGAGACTACAGCATGGGGTTTTTTAAGAAGGATATATTAAGGTTTTTTAAGAGTTGGCAACGCGCATGCAACACCCCTGGTATTTCAGGCTTCCGTAGGCTACGGTAACCATTTACCATATGGGCCGTATGCTTGTTTGCCACCATAGTAGTATAAATAAAGTGTTATTTTCTTTTTTAGTACCTTTGAACTCACTCAATTATCTGTAAAATTATAATACTAGTTTGCTAATAATCTAATCATAATAGGTAAACAATTCTAATTATCCTAGTAATGAAAGCCAATCAGATCCATGTCTTATCTCATCCTTCGAACCGGAACACTGCTTGTAAAGCAAGCTGCTCTCGGCACAAGTCAATTAGTCTGTCATGGTACCACGCAGACCTTGTATAGTCTCCTTTGATAAGTTTCAGGTGGTGATCATGATTATGTTTCGGTTATAAATATGTTCTAGTTATAGTCATTCCGATTGTGAGTTAAGATATCGGGTAAAAGATTTTTCAACAAATTTAAACATGGATCAACACATAGACTAAAGAAATATGCCTGAGAAATGAATACAAATTAATGAGTTTATCTCTTAAAGTAGAAATTATTAATTCATTCAATACGCCACTGAATATTTTATTGTTATTGGTTGATTATAATGTTACATGTACAGGCATTACTAGTCTAATAATAAACCTTATTTCGTGACTTGATTTTAAAACGAATTACGCAATACCACTAAGATACAATGTATGCGGTATCCTACAAAAACTATCAAATTAGAGAGTAAATGACAAACATAATCATTTTACTAAGTCGGTACTACTACAAATGGAGGAATAGAGGGTATGTTTCTTGGCAAACTTACAAATTACTTCCATTCTGCCTTCATCGGCAGCAGATGCGAACGAAGGCGCCTCTGCGGAAACTTCGCATCTGTACACGCCGCTGGATTTTAACATCAGCTGATGCAAAACCACTCTTCGGTCATCTGATTTTTGGAGCTGTATAACAATTTAAACGTTTATCAAATAAAAGAACATCTGGTCACAACAATATGTTATAAAAGAATATAATAATGTAATTAATAACCCAGTTAGAAAGTGCCATCATATTATATTAAATGATGTTAAAAGAGTGGGTATATATTACACACTCAGAATATTTAGACACGAATTAATTCTGAAGTTCCTAATTAAGCGCATTCGAGAATAAAATTGCTTTTTTTTTTACACAAGGTAACCTAAATATGAAAAATATTCCTATGATAACGGGACTGTATTTAAATGTGATTGGACATATCACTAATATTTGAAAAATCGTCTTTATTATGTTTCATACAATATTTTGTAATGGAACATCATTACTGTACATGTACGAAATCATTCAACATTAGTGATTACTTAACCATGATCCGTCTTATCCGTCTGATGTAATTAAATATATTGAATTCACAATATCGTATCTACAGAAGTATTATTATGTGAATAGTTCCAAAACTCGCATGGATTGTCTGGCTTCCCGTTCATACCGATCTACATCTTTTGTCAGATATTCGCCAGCGATGTTCCTATTGTGAGTTCGGAATAGACAACCCTTTTGTAAAATGGATTTCCAACAGTAGAAATGCCTTTAGTATTATACGATAATTTGATAGTATCGCAATATCGGATTGTATGCTACGTAATATTTAATATATTATTATTTTAAGTATTAAAATAAAATTATATTCATCCATCTTAAATAGCCAAAAGCTGACATATAGCACTATTTTATTGGATTTCATAATAGTCTTTTTTATTTCTGGAGACTGATGACTTCTTCTTGATCGTACACGGTTTATCTAATAATAGCTTTAGGAAAATCAGGTCAGTACCTAATATGGAAATTTTCTAATTGTTTAAAATAAATGTAACATATATAAAAGACTAGATAAAATGTATTATTATTTATGAATAATAATTTTTGTCTAGTCACAAATCAATTATTCTATCTCTAATATTTAATACAACCAATCACGTTTTGGCTTACCAAAACGTTATTGGTTGTATTAAATGTATATATGTATTAAACAATGAACTCCTAGATCTAGATTGTTTACTACATTATTCTTGCCTATTCTAAAAATTGTCCACCTAATTATAATTAGGATACAATTTAAATATGCATATTTAAATATACCCTTTAACAAAAAAATTTTTTTCCGTTATTTTGATCCTTGTATAGATAGATACAAAATACATAAAATGGAAGACAGGTACATAGATATATTACAAACTTCAGTTAGTCTATTTTAGTACTATATAATCTGGATATATTCACAGAACAAGCTAGTAATCATTATTCATAATGAATTGGATGCTGTTCACTAATCTAAAATTAAATTTAAGGCTCCCGAATCACAGGCACTGCCTAATATATTTACTATGTATGTATTCTACATAATAATGACATATGTTTTAATATAGAAGAATTTAATAAAGAAGTTTTATATTATACTAATATCATATTATAAATGTGAAAGTAAAAATAGACTAGTACGGTAATACGAATGTTCAGATTTAAAATAAATCTATCATTTGATACCGGAAATGAATGACAATTTCAATCGTATGAGAAGGTAATAAAATTTAGAAATATCTATAATGTAAAGGTAGGTATCGAAATGCAGAAATAGTTAATACTAGTTTTAATAAACTTATTGGAACTTGAATATTACATACAGTAAGTACAGCATTTACTATAGACTATAAGTCTTTCTCATAGTTAAGATTTGAATAGCGGGCTGTCTTTGGATTTCACCATTAGAAACTGTTGTAATAAAAATATTGCTTTAAGATCTAAATGACATGATAACATACTAGTTATGAAAATAAGTACTTTAGTGTGAAAATGTGATGACATCAGTGTGAATGGTTCTTAGGTGTACATTAATAAGTAATATTTATAAAGAAAAAAATATTAATTGTAAGACAACATGATTCTTCCATTTTAAAAATGACGTATTATATTATGATGGATGGAATAAAATGTATCTGTCTTATTTGGGACTGTCCAATGTCTAGAAAAGTATATTACGTTCATTTCGAAATATAACATTACTAGAAATTGAACAAAAAAATATATATTCCTATTTTGTGTATCATGTTCATTATAAAACAATAAGAAATAATATTAATTTATCTACAAACGTAGAATACTTGAAGAAAGTTGTAAGATTAAGCTTACCTCGCGGGGATATATTATTATTATACCTGTCTCTAAGGTACCGGAAAACCCTCGTCATTTATTCATTTATTTGTCAATGAAACAGTAGGTAAATCTACAGAGTTTTTATCTTCCATTAAATTGACGAAATACGTCATAATACATTATTCAGAACGGTGAAGCTGAAAAGACTTCCTTGCGCGACACACATCTGCACTCCCAATGCCTACTTTACAGTTGGCTATTGACGTATCGGGGCCTTCACGATTCCATTGTAGATACTAACATCTCTCAGGCATCAGTCATCAGTATTGACATAAGTTGTCTATTTTACTCATTATTATATAATGTTTATATTTTTTATACAGAAATTTCGTAAATAAATACATATTAATTACAATCCATAAATAATATCTACTTAGAAATGTTTAGCTTTTCATTATCAATCATGGTAATTTTTGTTTTCGCTTTTAGCTTTATCAGCGTAACCCTGTTCTTTCATAATTTTATATGTTCATTATTGTACAATTCAAATAAGTTTTTTTAAACTAACTGTTTTAGCTATGTTCATGTATTTTTCATAAAAAAAAAGAGTATTAACCTATTTATACAGGTTTATTTGGCTGGTAGACCACATAAAAATCACGAAAGAAAGATTTCATAAATGGTTTGTACTGTTATGTATACTCGTACTTATTTCCCGCGTCAACACTAGTTTTTTTAGACATGGGTTCCAGTCATTGTTATTTCTGTGAACTAGATATATAGTTACACTTTATATTTAGATAAAATGATGTGTATATAATGGGTCTTATTGACTAATCGAACAAAATGGAGTAGAACGATAATTATCCATTACTCTATGACATTTTTAAAAGGGTTGTAATAAATCCACTTTAGAATGACAAGAGATCATATTAGCGATAAGTGTATTTATTATACTTATTTAAATTATTATTATGAATAGTAACAGTTCATTGAATAATAAATCAAATATCATCCACCATCCTAATACTACTTATTAAACTAAACTACATTTCTCCATACAAAGTAATAAGAGACAAACTACTTAACATTATATGGATTCACCGTGCCAGAGAGGCAGAGAGGGAAACGCCGAGTAGTTACCGGACTTGGGATCCGGGTATAGGTTTAAGGAGACTAGCCTGCTATTGCAACTTTAGATACACGTTCTAGTGTAGTTCTAGACAGGCCAAGATATTTTAGAAGATTGTAATATTTTAGAAATAGAGAGTAATCGCTAAATTTTGCGTCCTTGCTATTTTTAGTCAATTCATTAATTTGTTATATGTGTTTCTTTTTATTGCGTGATCTTTAGATATATTTGTTTTCCACATTGACCTCTATGTACCTCAGATAATATTTATTATTACAGTTAGCATTAAATTACGATATTTATATGAGTATAGTATAAAACTGTGTTTCAAGAATTGTGTGACATGATGTCCACCGCTACCTTTTACCATCGCACCGCCATCGAAACTGAATTCATCACTGGAACCTAAGTGGTCTCGGACAGTGCCATACACACTCCACACAGAGGAGCTTCCTCCCGCGTACACTTAGATTGTAGAATGAACTACCTGCCGAGATTTTCTCGGGAACTACAGCACGGGGTTTTTCAAGAAGGGTATATTAAGGTTTCTTAAGGTTCGGCAATGCACACGTAACACCCCTGGTATTTGGTGGCATCCATAGGCCGTAACCGTAACGGATATAATAAAACCGTAAAAGATATAACCAACAGATGGGTCGTATGCTTGGTCCGTCTAAAGTAAAATAATATCTCAAGCTCTCTCAATAAGTTAATAGTATCATTATTACATAGTCAATTTAAGTAGTATAGTAATAGATTTGTTTAAGTTAATATTAATAGTTGAGCCTTAACTCAGATTTTAATTGAATGAGGGTATCGTCAAGTTTGATAATATCCTACTTCGCTAGTTTTGGCATTAACCACAGCAATTCAAATAGCGATGGTTAGTCTCGAAATAGTTACTTACGTCAACTTTGATCCCTTCTAATTTGTATGCATGCTTCGGTGGGTCGAACTTCGGCATGTACCTGTAGAATTCTTCGTTATCTCTGTACCATTTCACCGAATATAAAGTGTCCGAACCGAGTTCGTAGTCACACTCCAACTGTGCCGGCTGTCCTCTCACGCGATATGTTGGAATTGATACTCGAACTATTCTTAGTAACAGTGATTCTGGAACAAGGTAACAGTTATTTAAGTAACAGCTAGATTTAGATGTTTTGATCAAAGTTAATAATAGTGTTTTGCTGAAAGTCTGGAAATTATGTTAGGGGAAAATGGAAGTTCATTTTATGACTTAGCGCAGTGACCTGTGGTTTTGCCCACGCGAATACAGCTTCTGTTCCTTAGAAATACAATAAATTTGTATATAATTAATAGCTCCCGTCCCGGCAAACGTTATTTTGCCTTGAAATAAAAAAAAAATTTAGGCATGGACTACCCCTAACATTTAGGGGGTTAAAAAGTAGAGGTTGGCCGATTCTCAGACCTACTCAATACGCTCACAAAATATCATAAGAATCGGTCAAGCCGTTTCTGAGGAGTATGGGAACGAAAACTGTGACACGAGAATTTTATATATAAGATAACTGTAATGCGAATGTTGAGATGGATGTGTAGTGTGATAAGAATGGACAAGATAAAGAATTAATATATCAGAGGAAGTATGAAAGAAGTATCTTATGAAAGAAGTGTCTGAGAAGTTGAATAGTAGTCGTATTTCTACCTACTACTATTCAATTTCTTATACCATGCCTATGGGTATGTCATGCGTAGGCATAAAGAAAATAATTTAAAGAAAGTGTTATATCCAATGTAAGCATGTGGCCATCAAGCACACGGTCCGTCCATCTCTTTTAAGGTCTCTTTCTACACTTATTGGATATAAGAGCAGGAGGAAGGCCGAATAAGAGATGGGTGAACTCTGTGGAAGATGATATAATAAAATAGAGTAAATTAAGAGATTACTCCGAATAAAGATAATGGAAAAGATGTCGGCGTAATACATATGTATTACGCCGACCTTCTATTTAATGGGATAAGGAAGACGCACAGAAGATAATATAAATTTCTATGAGCATTAGAATGTTCATTTTAAATATTTTAACAATCATATCTATAATAATAATAATAATAGCATTGCGCAGGATATCTGAAAACCAAATTAAGAGAAAATGGTGAAATACTTTATGTGTAATTACTTGCTACATATTATATTTAAAATGTCAAATAAAAAGTATTATTGGAATTAGTTTTCGAGAAACTTGTCGTTAGAAACAATGTGACAAGTACAAAGCCGACAGACTAGACTAAACAGCCACTGTGTAGTTTCACAGTACCTGTCGAACTTTAACCAAAAATATTTAATATTCTATTTAAAGCTGTCTAAACTTTGTCTGACAGTCTTATTCAATAAAATTTATTATTAGAATAATATATATTTTCGCCGCTGTTATCCCAGAGAGAATAGTCGAAGGTATAATGAACTGACGTTGTAGTAGACATAACACTTAACATTCCTACAATTCGCTTACTATAATTGAATCCAACATGGCAGAGGTTGTGTCTATCGCCGCCTGTCGGATTAGTTTCCTTTGTTCGAGAGTCCATCAGAAATATAAACTGACAAATAAGTTGTTTCCGTGTCTGTCAGATGCAAACTCATAATTAGCAGGTCTAAGTCTGTGTAGGCAATCATAATGAAACAACGTACTAACTCTACTACGTACCTCTAAATAGAGTTAAAGCGTTTTAAATTATCCTTTTCCTTATTTTGAAATATATAATACTGAATATTTAAAAGGTCTCCATACTGAATATTTTAGGAGATTTTAGTTTTAGGTAATTACATTGAATTGAGTGAAGAAATAATAATTGGAATGTAAATGTATGCCTAAACTACGGTAGCATCGTAAACAGTAAACGAAACTAAAATAATTAGATTATTCTATCCGTGTACAATATTAACAACTGACGGTATGTAATCGACCAGATTTTACGTTTAGCTAAAAATCTCGAATCCGGTTCATACTCGTAGGTTAGCTATATTTGTTCTTTGTAATTTTAACTTCAATACAAAAGTGAAAAGTTTGTATACAGTAGTGTACTCATAATACGTAGCTATGTCGTATAAATTTCTATAAATGTATGTTATCCTCATCATGTGTATATTCGTGTATATATTTTTTCTTTTTACATTAAACTTCGGAGCTTGAAAAGTATTTTATTATATTAAGATATAACATTGTTATTTTTAAATGAAGTACATATAGTGGTATTTATAGTAGTATATAGTATTTAACTATTCTTAATTAAAATACGTAAGTATATTAGGTACATATGGAATAATTTGAATGCTAGTCGCTTTAGTTTTCTCCGCGTAGGCGATAAATACAAATATTTATATGTTTTTATATAGGTAAAATTGTTATCAAATGCTTACCATCTCGATACAATATAATATATACGTGGGTAGATATAATCGTTTATTATTGCACAAATTCAAAAATAATATTCCAGTGGAAATAATTATTTTCTTTGTTATAGTATAATAAAATTTTATATTTATTTAATATTAAGTACGCTTTATACTGAACTGTATTAACTAAAAATTACAATTTTAGTCTTGCCTTAGGATAAATTTTTCAAGATTTATTACTTCGGAGTTAATGCAATTTATTATTAGATACCAATGTAATAAACCCAGCAGTTTTAATGATATCTTGAATTTATACAAAATTATCAGTATTAAATAAACGTGGAATACCTAAATATTTCATTGACAGATAAATTACTAGACATATTGAATGGCTTATCACTTAATTACCCGGGGGCAGTGACGTGTGAACAACATCTGTTTCACGCTACAGATGGTTACAAATTTTCCTTAGTCTATTCTGTTCTGTTCTAAGTCTATTTGCCATTATTTACAAATCTATGGTAACATAATTACGTTTTAATAACATTACTTACAAATCAAAACACAAATAATTTATTAATGTTCATGTTTATTTTAACGTTAAGTTTTGTTTTGTATGAATATGTTTTTTTTTGTCGTCCAGGTCATAGTATAGATTTAAATCGGAAGACCTGACGAGAAACTAAACTTGTTTTTTATATAATAACATATTTTGGGATGAAAACCAGTTTAGGGATTTTTATTATTTTTTTCTGGTAGATATTGCCTCACTTCTGGTTTAATTATATCTTGCTTATCTTGAAATTAATACGGAGTACCTACTTCAAATATAATAACAGTGTAAAAGTAATATTATAAGCGCAGCAGTATGTAGCGAAGAATATTTGATTTATTTGTTAGTCTTCCTCGTAAAAACTACTAGACGGATTTGAATAATATTTAGTACGCAGAAAGACTAGATTGTGTCTTAAAACATGGATTACTTTTACCTGAGTTTACCTAGATAGTGTAATAAGAAACAAGATAGTATAAACAGTAGTAGTTACTTCATCTATAGTATATTGTACACAGTATGTATATTTGCACTTTCTATAAAGCCTTTCTCTGGGAAGCACTTATATACAATACTAGCTGTTCCCGCGACTTCGCCTGCGTGGAATTTATCTTGATTTTTCTAAAATAAAAGTAGCCTAAGTTACTCCTTATTACATCAGCTACCGACCAAAAAAGATCCGTTAAAATCGGTCCAGCTATTTCAGAAATTAGCCGGAACAAACAATCCAAACAACAATTGTAAAAAATGTTATTTTGGTGTATGTACTGTATTTATATTCAGATGCATTTTGTAAAAAACGGACACTCCAATTTTATTTATATATATAGATATATAATTTGTACTTTCAGATTTTCTGAGGGCTCCGTTTTATTTTTTTCTATCTTCATGCCTTCATACCTTACTGTTCTTGACTGAAAAGAGACCTAGAGATCTTGTTTTTCTACTAAGCTAAATGATTTTCATACTTTTCTTCTTAGGTATTTAATTAGTTAATTATACAACTTACTTCTATGTAATTCTGATACAATACCGATTATTTCTTATTGGACTTCGTTTAGATTTTTGATAAAACTCATCATCCTTAACCTAATTTTCGGGGTCAGCGTAACATGTTAATCTTTTCCATTCATCCCTGTTCGTAGTCATCTCGTTATTTACCCCCTTTCTTACCGTATCACCTTTCACACAGTCCGTCCATCTCTTTTTCGGTCTTTTTCTGCCCTTCTAACAATCCACATTCATATGTTACACCTTCCTTAAAATACAAACCAAAATTATTACTTCATAATTTGGTCATATTTGCTAAAACAAATTATACCTGGTATAAAGATCCATAACATTCATCTGTGCTTTTTATATATATCCTGTAATTAATACAATACCTACAATATGTTGCTATATGTTTACATTAATCATAATAATTCGACGAATTGACGATCGACTCAGGCGTAAGATTAATTCACGTATTCATCCGAATAATACTATGCAGATGCATTATTATCATTAAGCTTTAATTTAATAAATTATACGTCATTAATTAAAGTAACTTGCAAATGATAAAGTATAAATAATTTACATGCCGTAACGACTGTTATCCCAGATAGGGTAGGCAGAGATATTGCCAACTGTCGATGTTGTGATGATACATGACATGCCACATATACGAACCCAATGTGATATAAGTGAGTTTATCACCATCTGTAGGATATTTTTTTAGTTTGATATCAGTGTTCACTTCACCAGAGTCTATCATATATAAATGGATATATTTGATTGGCAGTTTACCTTCAAACTATGTATTCATTATAGAGAACGAGATTCTTTCAAGATCATTTAGAATTATAAATATAGTTTGCATTGATTGTTATATGTAAGACTGAAAAATAACCCTGTGAGTATCTAAGATTTAGAATAAGTAATTTAAATATTTTTGTACTCTGTTCTTATATTATTATTCTTTAATGTTGTCTTCCGTTTCCGGTGCTCAAATAAAGAGAATACAATTGTCGTCGTCCGCCTTTATTATTTACTAAATCTTAGTGGCCATCCTCACACAAGACAAACCCTGTTATTTTTTTTCATAGTAGATATTTCTAAACGACCTAAAGAAATCTTCTGAGATAACTTTAAGTTTTATAAACAGATTAATTTCACTTTTAAGGCTTTATGTATTTTCTATTATATCTTAAAATCAAATGCTGCGTAAACCGATGTTGAAATCCGGACAAAACGGATTGAGATTGTGGGGGAGGATTATACGATGCGTTTGTCATCAGTACTCTGCAGCCTCAAGCGACATCAGACCCATCTCAATCATATTCAACGGTACAAAACAAGAAAATAATAAATACTTCGAACATTTACGGAATGAACAGTCAAAATTATAATAACTAGTAATGCAGTCGCATCATTATTCAGGTGGTTTTGAGATAAAATATAGCTTATTTCCGTCTTTGTAATATAGTCTGTCTTCATCTTAATTATATTAAGAGATACAAACCAACAAACAGAGAGATAGAAATACTCATACATTTTTAATACCAGTACAAATACAAATTTTAAGTATGAAAGATGTCAAACGTATTTGACTAAGTAATAATATATCTGTAAACGAAATCCTTCATTTTCAAAGATTTATAATATATTCTTACTTAAGTATAACATACAATTTATATTTATTTATAATCCTTTAAATTTATATTTATAGGTACAATTCTAAGAAAAATACATAAATAAAATTATAGTCATATTCAGTATGACACGATCATTAAATTAAAATTGCAAAGTAATATACGTAAGTTACAAATTCTTATAATATTAAAATTAAGAATCTTAATTGTAATATTATAAAAAAAAATTTTTTATATTATTATACAAAATTGTATATATCAATATTTTTATTCATATGACATTTTTTTAACCTGATTTTTAGTTTAATATTAGTATTTTATTTATAAATAGATAGGTAATAATTTACAGTACCTATTCCCACCTGAGAAAGCCACCTACTCCGTACAAATAACTCTATCACCATTTATTTCCCCGGTGGTTTGTGTAAACTGGACTTTGAAACAATCATTTGCAAGTAACACAGGAACCTTGTTAACCTCAACAAACTTGTCCTGTTTAATCTTTGTAAGTATAGCCTTAACTTGGTGGTGCTACGACGTCATCAAGGTAAGTTAACTGTTTTAGTCAGTTAATTCTGTTTATCTAGTTTAATATACACGGCTGATGGTGTACGTACATTTATAATGTTTCATACATATTTATATGATAAATACACTTGCTTGTACAAAATTGCTGAATTATTTTTAAAGCCTATTGCCTATTAATTATGTGCATGGATAAACTCAGATATACCCACCCTGCTGAGACATTATATAACATTAATTTATGAAATGAGAATTTCATAAATTAATATACAAACGTACACTAATAATAATAGATCTAAAAATATTTAAGTATATTATTAATGAGCACCACAGTATCTGAATAGTTATGCGATATATAAACAAATTATATGAATAAGACTATAAACTATTTAATTTTCGATTGTTTTTTTTTTTTAATTTGAGACTATTTATCATCTATTGTAGTATAATAGTACACATATCTCATCTTGGCTATAAAGGGCTTTTCGTCGAACTATTCTAATGCTATTGGCCCTAGATAGCTTCATCAGATTAAAAAGGAGACGAATGCAGGAGCCACTTCACTAATGAAACTGCAGAAGATCAACTCATGCCTAACATATCGTAAGGCAGACTGAAGACACAAAGAGCTCAACGACTTTGTTCGTGAATCTGATGGAGAAATAATGCAGTGGTCTCAAACGCTCTTAACACGTTCAAACTACAGAAAAGTTTATCTGAGAACAAAGTTTTGCACGCATGGTTTAATTTAATTTTCACGCATAAATTAATATATAATCCAAAGTGCAAACTACATACAAAGTGTAAAGTACAAACATGGATATGGTACTAGGTGTCGTAACTAAACGTATACGTATATTGCGAGTCAATGTTTGCGAGCCAATTAGGTGTTCATTGAATATGTTTAAGTTTCGAGCCAGAATTCGGAAATAAAATTGGAAGAGACTTTCGAGATTCTTATAAATAGTATCAAAGAAGGAATTCAGTGTTTTTGTTCCTCTAAAATTAAGTTATGTATGAGGTTAAATGGTGGTATTCGATGTATGGTTTTTTAATAAAGTAATGAACTAATATCATTTTAATATCACTTATCAGTTACTAACATTTCCGGTTAATCAGACTTGTTAAAGATGTCAATAAAAATTAATAAACCGTGGTGAGATCCCGTGATTTTTTCTACTTGTATGCGTTGTTAAAAATGATTTATTAATAAGTAGTTACTACTATGTTAGATTACTTAAATATCCAAATAAAATATATTTGATATGTAAATATTTGTATGGTGTTATCAAGGTATTTTTATTACCATTATCATCTGCTTCTTCCTTATTACATTTATTTGGGGTCGGCTTAATGTATTTTTATTACAACTACGTTATAAATCCTAGAACCAATAACTACTTTATATTAATTAATGATAGTTTTGTTGTGGGTAAATGTAATAAATAGGTAATGGAAACGTGTTCACCTATATTTTTCTAAGAATCTGTTCCATAGATTAATCGGAAAGTAAGAAGCATGATGAAGCGGTAATATCGTGAATTCATGAGTAATTGAATCATTACAGGCCGACCTAAATCGCAGGAAATTAATCTTCGAATTTTGATTGTGCATTTTATTGTACTATAGGAGTTGTAAACTTCAATTATTTATATATTTTATTATTTAAGTATTGCTGCAATGTAATATTACTGTTAGTGGTATACACGCATATTATAAAACGAATACATATACATACATACGAAAAGCAAACTGCTCAGTAATTTCTTTTTTCGGAAGCCAAATAAATATATATTATCAATTGAATTTCAAAAGACTTTATGTCAGCTTGTTTTACGAGTTTTGAAGGAAATGTTTTGTGACCAAAACAGCGAACTCCGCCACATTTAGCGAAAATTCGTGGATGACAAAAAAGTTTCTTTTGTTATTTAATTTTCTCTACACGTATTTGTGAGGGGTCCCATTTCTTGCAGTAATATTTTATCTTTTTCATCGTTTCATCAATCCATAAATAACGTCACAGATGCTGTAAGTATATTGATTGACGATGAAGGATATAGAGAGCAGCCAAGTGAATATGTATAGTATATATACATATTCACTTGTATATATATACAATAATATAAAATCGGAATGATTAACGAATACTTTCACGACCGTTATTTGAAATAGAGTTTGAAATATTATCAAGTGTCGACGTCGTGGTAAACATAACACTTGACATGTCCCTATTTATCTCAGTATATTTGAATCAAACAGGGCAGGAGTGAGCCAAACGCCTTCTCTGGACTTTGGTTTGTTATTGGTGTTTCCGTCACCGGGAAGTGAGTCAATAATACAGATTAACACTTAAAGCATATGGTTGCTGTTCAGATTTGAATTGAAACCTGTCTGAATCGCTGTAGTAATCCAATAGGCCACGAAAATCTCTAATAGAAAAAGATAAAAACCCAAAATCTACTATAACATGTATTTAAATGATCTCAAACACAAAAAGTTTAGGAAGTAGTTATAATATATTACGTAGCAATCTAGTAAAACAGGAGAGCTGCAAACAGAACAATAAGAAGAAAATCCACCATTTCCTTCCATACTGTACCTACTCGTTTATTTTATCGGACATTGAAATCTAACGATCTGTTCTCGTACATTACTGCTTTACTTTAAACATTACATAAAGATACTATCTGTTTATATCTTTTTAAATACGGGCTTATTTTATCCATTATTAAGTTGAACTAGATAAAATCCGCATTTTTGCACATGTGCCTACCTAGTACCATAAAACTGAAAATAGCAAAAATAATACAGGGATTCACTGTTTTAAAAATTAGCGAATACCTACATTATTATACTAAATTTAGATTCCAAGGAGCTTGCTAAATATAATACTTATGCTGCACGTTAAGAGATAGCCGCTAACATATACATGTATATATATTAAAAGAAAATATGCAAGTAAATTGATCTTGCTTTAGTTTATAAGAATGATTGGTAAAATTCTACGGACTTTTAGTGTGTTATCTAATTTTTATAAGAATTCTATGAATACATTCTTTTTTTCTTAACTTATTTAGAACCTATTTATTAAAGGCCAAAGTTGAACCAAAATAAATAACATTGCAATTATCAATATTATACATATTATAATCAATACGTTTATAGTAATGTGGTTACAATTGGTGGTTTTTCAAAAGGGCGGTAGATTACATTACAGTCGTGCACGTAGTTGATCTATACTCCAAAGTACTCTGATATATAGTTATAATAGGCGAGCTGTATGATTGATATTCAACAAATGTGTGCAAAATACATCGTAGCTACAAGTAAGAAAAATATACATAACTATTATGAATATTGTTCTGTACTTAAATGTTGTGTGTTTTTTATTACATTAAAAAAAAGTATTTTCGTTTAATTGAAATCGACTGTTATTTATTATTTAACCAAATTAGTAATTTTATAGATATTTCTTTGCTTTTCTTTTATATTTATAATTTTGGATATCTCTGCCAATAATTACAATTGTATTTATTTTGTTAACTATTTATATGCATATTGCATTAACAAAATACTAAAAAAAAATTTTATTTTTTTTAATTATTATTTTTGTTAGAAGTTATATTTATATATATAAATATTCTAACAAACATAGGCATTCATTTACCCTTGGCGCCCAACATGGGTCTCAATTTCCGTGCCGATTTACATATAAATAAGGCATTCAAGACTCAAATACTTTTTATACAGCTCAAATGTCATTTATTTCATAAAATATAGTAATATTAAAAAATGTATATCAAATTTACCTTTTACAAGTAAACTAATTATCGCCAATAACACATACATCCTCATGAAGTTTTTATGTAAACAGCTGCATCACATATCACAGATTATATATTCCTGCTTGAGATTGTCATATCCACTTAGTCACACGCGACTTTAACAACGATAATCGTAAAGTTCCGAGTCGTAATGAACTATTTATACGTAATATTTGGATGTTGTTAGCTATAGGGAGACGTCCGTCTCGATCGGTGGCGTGCACACAACTGAGCTTCGGCTTAAGTTCGTTCAGTTCGCGGCAACTCGCCCCGCACCCACTCGGGGTCATAGAGACCTCTTTATATTTTCATGACCTATGAACAAGTCGATAATCGTTTTTAATGTTATGTTTACAGTGATTAATTGGGCATAACTATATAAATGATAAAGTTAGTATATGAACATCGTATTAATTAACAATGCACGTTTTTAATATTACATTGAATACGTACATTTAATTTTTTTTATATAATTTTCCAGGAATTAATAGGACAGTTATTGTGTATACGTTTAAATCATTATGATTGAATAAAGCCGTCTGACCTGTATATTACATATACATTAGATAGAAGCTTCCTTACAGTGTCAGATAGTAAGGCTTTAATTGTTGGAATTGTTGGTTGAATAATGGGCGTTTTTATATAATGGTCACTGAAATGCCTCGTCTCTCTCCTTTATTGATACTGTTACGATGATAGTTGTAACATTACTTAATATTTGTATGTCAAATATATCAAGTGGTTCGAATATATCAACATTAGTGACAGTTAACATGCTCTGCCTGCTATAACTGAGCCGTGTGTGAGTCGTGTGTATATTTTTGTATGAATTGTTAAAAAAAAAACAAATATGTTAAGTTTTAATGTATTACTCAAAATATAAATTTATTAGTCAGTATATATACTCACTTACTTCTATTAATTATGATATGATTCAATAACAAAATAATACATGAATTATTTGATTCCGACCGTCAAATTATTAATATTCACGTGAAGTTAATATCGCTTTATGAAGAATTTAATTTCCTGGCTTTATGGCACGGCTTGATCATTTAACCGTAAATTGCTTTTTGAGGGTCAAATATTGGTCTTAAAATTGCTTAAAACTCATGGAATAACACGCGTAAGTTTAGATTAAAATTAATATCTCCAGCTTCTATTATATATTCTGGAGTTGTGGCTTGTGATTAATATTATGAATATTTATTACATAAACCCATTTTCATTGCAGTACATTAAAATAAGAGATTAGAAGAGGGAATCTGGGATTTTCAGACTGGGAGAAGTTATTGGAATTAGTGTACGTACAGATATTTCAATTATGATTTAGTATACTATATAGTTATTATACAGTTACTTATTGAAATTTATTCTCACAACTTGACTACTGGTTTTTGTACTATGGAACGGCTTTTAACATTTTTTTTAAATAAACTGTAGAATATAGCAGATAGTAAATATAGAAATAACTTGAATAAAGGATAAAGTGTTCTACTATGTACTTATAACGGAATACGCTTTGCGCGCGTTACGTTCCACGGAAGCCTGTGACGTGCTGTCTCAATTGTCGCACTGTAGCTTTTTGTCTCAAAGTCCCTTTTTTGTAGTCGCGTCTACTACTCTACGAGTAAATACAAGGGGAATGTTATACCCACGAGTGTATTTTATTCATCACATAGAAAGTTTAACCATTGTTCTTGTATTACGTCTCTGCAGTGCACAATAAATTACGGCATTTGTTTTAAATAAAGGCATTGATTCAATTTAAATTAAGTTTTTTTAGAATTAGAATAATTTATTATTTAATGTTGAATATAACTCTTCATAATTATCTGATTTGAGATAAACTTCATGCAGTATAATATAATTTGTTGTCGTCGCTCTATTTTTTGTGTCACTCTGTTTTGATGAGAGATGTAGCTTTGTAAAACTTTATTTTTTTTAGAAAACTGTAATGTTTTTCTACTCTTATACGTTATTTTTATTGATATTATCTGATTTTGATACTGACTTCTCTCACATTGTAAGCTATTCTATTATTTCATTACATAATAGACAAAATTTGTATAAACTAGTGAATTCTTGTAGAGATCCCATGCAGTTCGTAGACTTAGACGTAGTGCATATATATATTGTGGTGATCTAATGGTTTAACACACCGCATTCCTTTTAATGGCCATAGGTTTGATTCTTCAGAGGATACAATCAATTGTATGAGTACGATTGCTTGATCGGTCTGGATCTATTCTATATATATTACTAGCTACTTCGCACGGGTATACATGTATTATATATATATATAAACTTTTCTCTTGAATCACTCTAACCCCAAAAAAAACCCTTTAAATTGCTATTAAAGATTTAAGCATACATAGGGATGGGCTGAGAGCGACAGCGACTTTATTTTATTTTATGGAGTGATAATGACGAATGTATTTACAAAAAAAAAATGCATCTATGGATTAATATAATTTGTCTAGTACGCAAACCACAAGCTCTGCTTAGCTTATGACTAGAATACGTTGTATGAATCGACCGGACACATTATTATTATGTAAAGAATATAACAGCTGTAAATGCTTTGGCCTATACACAAACGCATCTTGTTATTCTTTCTTTGAATTCTGCTATAGATTCAGCGACATGCATTCAATTCATTGTCATTTAAATACTTCGGACTGTTTATTTTTCTTCGGATATTTCTATCATGTACGAAAAATTCGTGGTAAAGTATAATTATCCAGGTTTCTAGCGTCTTGGAATATTTTAACACTATTACTTCCAGCTGTTTATGGCAATACCTTATTTCTGTATGAAGTCACTGCAAAATAGATTAAAGAACGTTAAGTATGTATTTCATATGTGTTTCTATAATTTTAACAACTAGTACGACGACGTATTCTTTATTAATTATATTCGTTTAAAATGGTATCCACTGAGAGCTTTAATTAGATCAATGATTTATATTTTTTCTTCATGGATTCTGTTGTTACTCTTGCTATTATACTGGAAAATTTAAAAGAGGGAAGAATTTGCTTTGATAGCTACTGTATTCTTACTGTACTCAGTATTTTTAGCAAAAAAAAAAACGATTATATGAAAAGTAATTTAAAAAAGAGAGACTAATAACGATGACAATATAATAAGTACTTGAAGGGAAAGCGATATTACAAAAAAAATAAGGTGTCGCACCCGTCTACGTCACACATGTTCCTCTTATTAAGGTAAAATATCATTAGCCGTCATATCCCTTATAACGGACGTGTATACGACAATTTTTCCTACACGTCGTCGGATCGTAACACTTTATCGTTATTGTACGTTGCCATATTCGAGAATATAGGAGCATCATAAAATCATAAACAGCTTCAGTTTTCGCGTTATCCCTTACAAATTTCTTTGGGTTACCCCTCAATAAGCTATTATGAATTTGGTGTTCAGTACGTGATCGTTTTTGATGATGATTCCCTGTTATTGTACCTTTAAAGTAATTGTTTCCAATAACTTAATAAGTCAAAAATAATATATATATATTTGACAGCCTCAGTGGTCTAACGGGTTAACACCGCCTTACGAACCGATGAGAGTGGTTTCTAGGTGTTTACTATATATATTGTGTATGTATTATATAAAAAGTGTATCCATGCATTTATTTCAGTTGTCTAACACCCATAACGAAAGCCTTGTATTCAGGAATGTTTTGTTCATATATTATTTTATTACTGTGTTCAAACCAATCTATTACAAATATGTGATTACTATGTTGATTATGAGTGTAATAGATATATATCACATTGATATATTAGATTAGTATTTTATTAGATATAATACTAAGATTAGTGAAATATCAGACAAGTAGTTCTTGTAGACAATAGAAGAGAATATAATATATAAAACGAGTATAAATAATAGACTATAAATTTTAGATATTAGCATTAACATAAATAGATTTTGTTTGTTCATGAGAGATTTTTTTATCAATTCATATTTGCCAAAATATTTACTGTCATCAATGTTAGCTGCATTGATTTACGTGTTGCTTATATTTACATAGATCTGGAACTAGAGAGCACGTTTTCTTAGGGCATTACCGGTTGACAACCGGTCGCAGGCGGCGTACTCAGAACGCTTTATCACTTAATTTGAATCGTGTCCCGAATTTAGAGCACAGCCAACTCTTAGGCAAGCAAAATTGTTAATTCTAAATATTCCAATCTGGATCTAATAAGTAAATTATAAACAAGACAATAATTTGAGCTTATTGTTATTAGACGAAGCCAATTAAATTTATAGCATGAATATTTATTCACAAAATGAATTAGTTTAAATTTAAATATATTATAGGAAGAAACTGTTACTAGATACAGTGATTTAAGAAGATGCTTTATATGTATAATAAATATACGGATATTTTTTAAAATAACAAATAAATATAGACATATATGGACAATACACATTAATATTTGTAGAGGTATTCAGAACCTGAACCTCCAAGAGGTTCAGCTTCTGATTGAGATAGACTATAAAAAAGGATTATTACGTGATATTTTAGTTGAATGATAAAAAGGTATTTGTATGGTTTTACGCATAAGAATATAAACGAATTAAAGACCGCCTTCGAAGTCTAGATTGTTTTTATGGTCATGCGTTACATTCAAACATCGCATGATCCAAACATTTGTATTCACGACTGTGATTGTGTGTATTGGTTTGGCTGTTTTCTATGTATATATTATGTGTATATTTAAAAAAAATGTGTTTAATTATTTCTTCTTCAGTTGTTCAGTAATCATAGCAGTAGCTTTGCTTATTATCCAAGGTTATTCTTATCTAATAATTATATTTATTTATAGTTTTTCTTATTCTGTTATTTTTTTTATTATTCTTTTGTGTGTGTGTCGAAGATGTAACTTCGTATAAAAAAAATATATGAAATTAACGTAACCTAATATCAGTATCATATTACTATTGCAAAAAAGCAAACTTTCTTCAACAGTCTTATTTTTAAGTTATTAATACAAACATTTGTTGTTATACTTACATGAGAATGTAATGCTTTGGAATATTGTTATTTTTTGTTTTATTATATATATTTATAATTTGTTAGCTTAATTTTAAAGCTCTTATTAAATAGAAATTTCTAGTACCTTCAATTAATGTAATAAAAGCATTTATTTTATATCTGAAATTCTGAAACAATGTTATGGCTA